TGGTTTTACAGGAATTAAGTTAAATTAAATTAAATTAAATTAAATTAAATTAAATTAAATTAAATTAAATTCAATATTAAATTACAGGAATATCCATGGGGGAATCAAGATGGCAACTGTGACTGCCTAATTGAAGTCCTGCCCCTTTTCTACATGTGTTACATGCACAACAAACAAGCCATACTTAGCCATACCCATCTGATTCTTGTTAGGGAGGTAGTAAGCATTCAGTGCTTGAGGGGGTAACAGCCACCTGTAGTTAGGAAACATGGTTATCAGCAACAGGACCAACTGCAGAGTGGGGGGACCCAATGCTTGTGCGTTGGGGGTGACAGTCCCAGCTGGTGGGACTGACAATTGTTGCGGTCATTGCAAGGATCAAGACACAGCTGGTGTCCTGCAGATAAGTCAGGACTACATTACCCAGAACACCCTCCCAGGATGGGGAGTGTGGACCCAGTAACTCAGGGTCAGACTCTGCTGTGAACCATCTTCCCACCACTACTGTCTCTGCCCTCAGGACAACCAAGACTAAGTCTCCTGACCCTGAACAGGCTCCGTTCTGGTCAGCACATCCCTGTTTCATGAAGACGCTTGAGTGGGACACTGACTATTTTTAGGCAATGGATTAGGGTTCAAATAATAATGGCCCCATGGGTGTTCTGCTCCTGTGTGCCTCAGGGCGCACCCATGCTGAATGAAGAGATGGAGAAAGATCAGACTCTGAAAGACCCCAACTCTGAACCTTCTCTGGCAGCATCCTGGAGCGTGGAGGAGCAACACCTTTATCCTGCATCTCTAGGGAACCCTCAAGTCCACCCTGGAGGAGAAAAGGAGTGCCCTTCAATCACCTCTCTGCACCCCACAGACCAGCCATGAGGTTCTAGAAAAAGAAGGCCACCTACGCTGACTTGTCCACTTCCTGACGGATTTTCTTCACCGACAGCTTGATGTTGAACCTGATGCTGTTGAGGATGTTCTTAAAGTAGGTTTTCTCATGGACTTCAAACTGCAGAAGACACAAGTATCAGTGCAAAGGTTTAAGGGAGAACCTGAGCTTCAGGAGGGACAGGACCTGCTTTGCATGCAGATGGAACAAACCTATCAAGACTTGACTACTGCAAGGTACTCTTCTTGGGGCTACCCCTGAAAACTATCCAGAAGATGCCAGTGGTATGAAACATAGCAGCTATGCTGCTAACTTGTATGAGCTTCAGGGATCAACTGAGGACTATCCTGAAAGATCTGCACTTGTTACCAATTGCTTACTAGGTACAACTTAAAACACTGTTATTAACCTTTAAAGGCCTAAAAGATCTAGAGGTTGAACATCTATACAGCATTTCTCCTATTATAATCCTAACTGGATGTTACGAGGACAGTGCAGTGCTGAAAAACCCAACCCTGTTACTCTGTATTTTGTCTCCAATTGTTTTTGCCTGTGTGTGGAAACTGTGACCCTTTGTCTAGACCTGATAAACTTGTTCTGCTTGGCCTCCAAACTGGGGCTGCTGATAAGAAATTCTCGAAACTCAGATTGAGCAGGGATTATAACCTTGCTTTCGGACTTCAATGATGAGTTAAGTAGACTTCAGATTGAGCTCAACTCCTGATGTCTACATGGAGATGTTCATATCATTTTCTTGGTAGCAATATGGAACTGGTTTGCCACTGTTTTCTTCCTGGATGTTTTTTGAACTCCTGTTTGTCTCCCATCCAAATACTACCCAGGTCCAATCCTGCTTCGCTTTTCTTCAAGATCAGCCAAAGTTGGCTAGGATGGCCACCTAAACTGAGCGCCAACTACAAGTGCTTTTGCCAATTCCCAGCTTTGGATGTGTGGTCCAGTGGTGAAGGGGCTGGACGAGGAGTGGGGAGACCCAGGTTCTAGTCCCTCTTCAGCACCAGAAGCTCATGGATGACTTTGGGCCAGTTGTTCTCTCTCTATCTAAGAGCCAAGGTGGTGAGATGGTGAAAGTGAGGGCAGAGTACAGGGAGGCTGAGGTTCAAATCCTCCTTCAGCCATGGAGAATCACTGGATGATCTCGGGCTAGATATTTAGCCCAACCTACCTTGCAGGGTCATTGTGGAGGAAAAAATAGAGGAGTGCTATTTACATGGTCTTGAGCTCCTCAACAAAAGGCAGGATAGAAATGTAATAAATATGGAAGTTAGCCAGTAAATGAAAGTTTTTCCAAAGCCTTGCAGGCTAGAACATCCCCAGGGGATCACCTGGCATCTCATAAGATTCCTGAAGATCCTGAGATCTTCACAATCTTGCATACCTTAAACTTTTTTATTTCTACTTTAATTCAGGAGAGCTTCCTTGTGCCGGTTGTGTGGGATGCCATAATGCTGACCCCTGACTTCATCAAACGTGGGTGAGAACTGAACTAAAAATTATGGAGTAATTTCATGTTTTGAGTTGTCTCCTTTTACAGATATGTTTACCCAGATGGGAAATTTATTCCTGGAAGTCAAGATTCTCCAATACTTGCCTCATATTCCTTGTCAACTGCTCCTGGGTTGAGCAGGAAGTCTGGATATCCAATCATCACCATCATGTGCTTCAGCTGCAAGAGAAGCTGGTTTCAAATACCTGGCCAACATCTTGAGTGTCTGCATTGGCAGAGGTTGGCAACACGGTGCCCACAGCCCCAACTGTGTGGCATGGCGAGGTGATGGTGCCAACCAAGCTCTCCGGACCCACCTGGAATTTCTTAACAAGACTTTAAAATTCAAGGCAAGCTTACAAGCACAAGGTCAACCTCTACGCTCATTTTGATTGGCAAAAATGGATCTGGATGCCAAGGGTAATTTTGGAAATAATAATATGGGTTCCCAGCAATTTATTGGGAAAGGTGCCTATCTGCTGGAGTGATAAAGAACATATTAAAACAATGTTTTTCAACCTTGACAACTTTAAGATGGGTGGACTTCAACTCCCAGAATTCCCCAGCCA